CCCCCCCCCCCCGAAAAACAACCAAAACCCTCCCAGCACGCCCTCAGTACCCCGACAACCTTCTTCTATGTGCTGTTGCAGAAATAACCGTCAACTGCGCACCAGGCACCTTCTTAATCATACAGAAATCCTCCTTGCCGAACACGATTGCTTTCGATTTTCTCTTTCTACCAGGGACGGGGTCAACTCCAACCACAGGATCTACCCCAGTGACCCTAATGACCGTCTCGTCAACTTGGTCTGCTTTAAGCACGGGGACTTGCCCCGGATACATGCTATTCGTAAAGCACATGTTGTACTCGCGCCGTCGGCACGCTGAGCAAAAGCAAGATGCGGCCGAGGTGTAAAGCTCGTCGGTGAGGATGACCTTCTCGGCGCGAACCACCTCGCACCCCCGCTCCGTTTCCTCCCTCTCCGACTCTACTTCCTCCTCTTCCTCCCTCTCCCCCTCCGCGTTCCCCTCCCCCTCCTTCTCCCCTTCCACATCGCTTTCCTTCTCCTCTTCCTCATACCCCTCCACCAACGTGAAAAGCGCTTTGGGCCTCCGCGCCCTGCCGCTCCGTCTTGCACCGGCAGACCCATCCCCCCACGTCTTTTCCCTCTCCTCCTCCTCTCCCTTCTCGTCACCAGGGTCCGTGCGGCGGCCATCCCTCTTCCTCTTCCTGCCCCCCCGCTTGACGCCGCCGGAGTCGCCCCCTTGCCCCGTCCCCGCCCCCCCCCCATCCCCCCCCTCACCTTCATGCTGGCTCTCCTCTCCCGTAGCCCCGCCCCTTTCCCGCGCCGGGCTCCACGGCACATACGACCTTGCCCTTTTCACTCATAGAGCTCCGTCCCCTCCACCTCCCCCACGTCCGTTCCCATCGCCAGTGACCAATCTTTCTCCATCACGTCCGGAACGCTTTCGTCTCTCCCCCGCCTAGTCGTGGTCGCGCGGTCCGTAAGCCCCGCGTTGGCCCCTACAAAGAGGTAGGCGTCTCGAGTACCTGTGATGCCTTTTAGCTGCTGCTCCGGCCTGTAGACAGCGCCCAGCCCGATGAGCTTCACATGCACACGCCGGATGCGATACGGCGACCACGTGGCGAAGTAGTCCGCGAGCTCCTTGTTCCCAGCCCCGATGTGGTCAAAGTACTCTTCCAAGAATTTCACCACACCAGCCGCCCGATCGCCACGTTGCTCGGACATCCTCATGGCGTTCTTCGCCACACCGCCGATCCCGTCGTGGCAGCCTTCGAAGTGAGAGGTGGCCGCAAAATGGTGTTCGACGATAAAGCCAAGCTGCCGCACACTGTCAGCCAGAAAACGGAAGTTGCGCCTCCCCTTGTACTGCTTGGCGCACCCGTCCGTGAACATGTGCATGCGGGGGATCCGTTGGGCTTCCCGAGCGGCGGCAGTTGCATCACTTCCGGGCCCATCCAAGTAGTAGTCGGCAATCTGAGTTAGCGCGTGGCGGTGAAAGTCGAAGTCGTGTGCAGGGTCCTCCGAAGTAGAAATCCATGTCTCAGTCTGGTGAACCCTTCCGCCGCCCTCCCAGCGCTGCGGACTGAAGTGTACAATAGCCACCATGAGCGTGGTTTGGGGATGCCGCGCGCAGGTGAGGACGGCCCCAGGAACGTGCGAATATTTCTCGATAAAATCTGTCTCGATCACGATATCGCCGTCGTGAAACGTGCTCAAGCAGAGCCCATGAGAGGTTGTCTGCCACTTGGCCTCTGCATGATGAGCGATGTAGAGCTTACTGCTGTGCTTCTTGAAGTCCGCCCACAGGTCGCAGAGCTTGCCCTCCTTCTCGACTTGTTGGTTTTGCAGGGGCTTCTTCCCGGGCCTCTCAACGTCTTCATACCGGGTCTATTGACAACCTGTTGCAACGTTTCCAGCGCCTTGCAGGTCGGGATGCCCCCTTCCTTCCCAAACCCACAGAGCGTGCACTCCATAGCACTGCAGGCCGGCTTCCGTCCCATGAGGCCAACCTCATCCTCCGGGTCCCCCTCTCGTAGGTCCACCTTTGGGCATGCCAACACTTCCGAAAACGTCCCCAGGTGTTCCCACATCCCCTTCCACGCCGTTTGTCCGTCCGGGGTGCTGCACCACCGACAGTCGCATGCTGCACGACCCTGCACGTCCACTTCGCGCAGCGCCTTCAGATACAGGTCTTGCTGCGTGTGGATCTTGCACACGCACTGGTCTGTTTTCAGGGTAGTCAGGCACTTACACCATGTTGAGAGGAATAGAGTTCGGCCAGGGTCCTTGATGTCCTCGCCCTTCTCCGATTCCCAATCCTCTTGAAGTTGATGTAGTCCGGCCACCCGAAAAATTTGGAGAAAGCTGCCTCGCCGCCACCCTGATGACGGGGCAAGACATGTGACTGTCTGCCCCACCACCGCGCCCGCGGGCTTGTGGTACGCCCGCTCTCCGAGCTCCCTCTCGCTTGCCCTTCATGATCTTGTCAGCTTTTTCGCGGGCCACCTTGGACAAATCTGCTTCACAAGCCTCCGAGGTGCCGCTGTTTCTCGCAGCTGCGCGCTTGCCAGCCTTGAGGTCGAAGAGCTTGGTAGTGATCTCAACGCCGCGTCCCTCCTTCAGTCTCCAGCTCTGCACAACTTTGAACTGCCGCTCACCAGCATACATAACGCGTTCACATTCGCCCGGGCCGGTAATCGCTGGGCCGTCGCCACGCCTCATACTTCCAGACCCCGTGCGGGCACCATTTTCTGCCTGACCAACTTTCTGAGTGGCTCTACCCCCCCTAAATCGACAGAGCGGAAGCGATTGCCGAGGTCGGCGAGAAAAACAAAAGTTCGGGGATCGGCTAAAAAAAAAGTTCGAGTCGAAGGGCAACTTTTATTTTTTTCGCCGACTTTTTCTGACATCCTATTTGGACCAAATACGTATTTGATCGTTTCACAACGATCTGCGAAGTCGATTTTTTGAAAAAAAAAAATTCGTGCCCGCAGGGGCCATTCGTCTTTAGCTCGGAAACCGCCGGGAGAGGAACCAGCCAACCAGCCAGTGAAAATTTTGGCGTTCGCTGAAAATTTTCCTCCACAAAGAACGTCCATGTAGAATAGTCTAGACTAGACTAAGGCGCGAAGAAAGAAGCGGTCAAAGAATGACCACAGCGATATGTAGCTAGCGATACGCCGGTGTTCCCCCGCCCCCTGCCTTCCATCGCCTGCCATATTCTGTCTCTCTTTGGCTTCAACCAACAGAAGTCTAGCCAACTATGTACCGCAGAACGCCCACGTGATGATGGCAAAGACAACACCTACCTGCAAAGCTCGCTGGCAAAGGGGTTATGGGATACTTTGCGATATGTACAGGATCCGGCTCTGGTTGCCCTTGTTAGCAATACACCCGGGATACCCATTTTGTGTTGAATAACAACGCGTTGGTTTGTGATGTCTTCCGTTGTCAGAAGAAAGGATGAGGGCTTGGATGTTGCTGCTGCTGTTGATGCTCCTCATGTTCGGAGCACACGGTAAGGCCATCAACGGGCCCGCCAACGCCAGCCCAGAGGACAAGTGCTGCGCTGCACTGCTGGTGGAGGGCGAGGCCGGCTCGCTCGACGCCTTTGGGAAATACCACCTGCACACTCCTTAACAGACTTGCGGGAAAAATGGGAACGTATCCAAAAATGAGAATTGGTCTCCAGCGGCGGGGTCAGCAACGGCGCGCGGTCGGAGACCCACACGACGTTGTTCGTCATGCACACGCGCCCCGTCGTGAGTTGAGGACCTTGACCGCAGACTTGTGATGGTTGTCGCCGTTGTTGAGGCAGCAGCACAGCACTGCCTGGGGATCCATCTTCCGCGCGCGCGTCACACGCATATACCCCGGCTGCAAGAACGGGACGATCTGGAGC